GGCCAGAGAAAAGCAAAAATTAGCATAGAGACGGGACCCAGGAGTCCTGACTCCGTTTGATATCATCGCCTCCTCAGCTCTCAACCCACACATATGTGCTATTTCTGCCCCTTGTCCAGGGAGATGGTCATTTTTCTGCCTATCTCCTGACCCCTCCCCTTCTCCTCCCTCTTGGCATTTGGCAGATCCAAGCAGCTATTCCAGGAACTGGACGCCAAGCACAACAGGTGCTCAGGAGGTCACAATGATCAGCCCGGACCCCAGGCCTCCCCCTGGCTTGGCCCGGTGGGCTGAGAGCTACGAGGCCAAGTGTGAGCGCCGGCAGGAGACCCGTGAAAGCCGCCGCTGCCGCCCCAACGTGACCACTTGCCGCCAGGTGGGAAAGGCACTGAGGACCCAGCAGAGAGAGGAGCTCCAGAGAGCCCGACAGCAGCAGTTCTTCAGGAGAAGGAACCTGGACGTGGAGGAGGAAGGCCCGGCACCCAGCTCCTGGGCCAGGGAACAAGGCCTCCCCAGGAGGCCAGGCCAGGAGGCTGACCTCAAGCAGCCCTTGTCTTGGGCCAACAGGATCCCTTCCCCCAGACAGCAGGTGGGCCACGTCGAGGAACACACTGCTTGGGGAGAGGGGTGCCAAGGGGGTGGGTGGGCTCAAGGTCATAAAAAAGTGATTTAAATTGAGTCCCTTCTTCCTCAGTCATATAGTAAAGTCTCCCTTAGCCACTTACTCGTTCAGAGGTTTATGTTGTTGTGTTTTTAATTAGTTTTTGTTTTGCACCTGCCTTATAGGAGAGAAAAAAATCATTTAAAAAATAATTCCATAGCTAATTCCTAGTATCAGTTCAAATTTAGGCAATCTATATGTATCTTCTACAGCATTCCTTCATCCATCATTCAACAATAATTTATTGAGTTTTATTTATGCCAGGTACACAGGCCAATCTTCTTGATGCTCCTCTCGAAATACATACACACACACGCACACACACACACACACACACACACACACACACACANGTCTTGGGCCAACAGGATCCCTTCCCCCAGACAGCAGGTGGGCCACGTCGAGGAACACACTGCTTGGGGAGAGGGGTGCCAAGGGGGTGGGTGGGATCAAGGTCACAAAAAAGTGATTTAAATTGAGTCCCTTCTTCCTCAGTCATATAGTAAAGTCTCCCTTAGCCACGTACTCATTCAGAGGTTTATGTTGTTGTGTTTTTAACTAGTTTTTATTTTGCACCTGCCTTATAGGAGAGAAAAAAATCATTTAAAAAATAATTCCATAGCTAATTCCTAGTATCAGTTCAAATTTAGGCAATCTATACTTATCTTCTACAGCATTCCTACATCCATCATTCAACAAGAATTTATTGAGTTTTATTTATTCCAAGTACACAGGCCAATCTTCTTGATGCCCCTCTCGAAATACACACACACACACACACACACACACACACACACACACACACACATTCTCTCCCCTATTCTTCTGTGAGGTCGTTACACCCACCCACCTTCTCTCTTTCTCTTGGACCATTTCAGTTCTACTAAATTCACTCAGCTAAGGTCTCATCTGGACCAGGAAGCCTTCCCTGGCGCCTCCAGGCCACCTCTGCTCTTTGCAGTCCTCATGGAGTTATAAATCCTCTAAGATTAAGTAACAGAATGCCCATTAGTCTGGCCTGGGAAGAAGCAGCGTTGGCAAAAATCAGGGTATGTCGAAATGACCTCAGCCAGCAAATTAGCTGTGTCTTCCTATCCATGTTGTGAGCATGTTGACAGCAGGGATGGGTCTGCTATATTCCCTGGAAATGCCTGGCATCGTGCCCTGCCCAAGGTAGGTGCTCAGTCAGGGCTTTTTAATGGATGGATCTGTTGTCCACAATAGGAGGTGTTGTTCAGAAAAATGAACCTTGGGCCCAACTGTAATATAAAACCAGCTGTGTACTTTCTAAAGCAAGAAGGTTTCTGAATGCTTTTTGTTGAAAAACAAATTTAAGGAGAAAAAGATCAGAAAACACAATTAGCTAAAGAACTCCATCTGGGCCTATCTGTTATCTGCAATTCTGGGATTGAGTCAGCCTGCACGATTAGATACCAAGGCATTTTTTAGTCTTTTAATGTTGTGTTATGTTACAAGCATAGAACTTTTGAGTGTGCAAGAAGCAAATATAGAAACAGCAGACTAAATTGTGACAACTACTACTGCACCCCTCCCTACAACTCCCTACTTCACAGACACCTCAGCGATATTCCAGCTGTTACTAAGAGGAAGGAAGCCACCTCTAGAATATGGAAGGGACCTTAGAAATCATCTACTCCAAACCAATTATACAGACGGCAGACCCAGACCTAGAAAAGGCAGGCTGTGATCCCCAGTCCCTTCACTCCCCACTCGGGTTAATTCTCTCTCCATATCACCATGCTGACTGTGTGAGTGGCTGAGGCCAAACAAGGTAGATCAGGGATTCTAGAGAGTGTAATTGGAGACAAGCCCAGCTCCTGACTTGCCTGCTGTCCTGAGGAGAACCACTCCTGCCAGCTGGGACAAGGTAGGGCAAGCGCAAATAACCTTGTAGCTTTGAAGGGGTTACTTTGGTTTTCTGGACCTGAAACTTGATCATTGGTTCATCTTTCTGCAATTGGCTGGAGAATCCTAGTCTAAATGGCTCTAAGATTCCAGCATCCCTCACTTGCTTTCCAGGTGTCAGGGACCAGTTCTGAGGTCTTTCCAACCCAGCATCATCCTCTCTCAGACATCTGCAAGGATCCGGCTGATCCCCTCCCCTCCCAAGCAGGGAGCCTTCCACCACAAGACAGTCCCATCAAGAAGCCACTCAAACACCACCGTGGTAAGGGCAGAGCCTCCCTCCCTCACTGGGGCCTGTAGAGAATCCTGCCACATCAGTCCCAGCTGGCTGGCAGTGGGAGTCCCGGACCCTCCCCACCTCCCCCACATCCTCCCCTGTGGGCTCTGAATCACCTTATCCTCCGTCTCTTAGGCACTCAGACAAAGGCAAAAGAAGCACAGCCAACAATTAAGAATGATGCCAGTCAGCAAACCAGGTGATTTTGCTCCTTACCTCAACTCCCTCACCGCCCATCCATTCCTCTCTTCTAAGATCTTACTTGAATACCCTCACCAAGTTTTTAGAGAGGGAACACAATAAATTTCCATGTCCACCTTAATTAAGATACAGAAAGACCTTCCCCACCTTACTGGCTTTTCAGAAGAGATTAGAGAAGGAACCAACCCACAGCCTCCTGATGTGCTAGTTTCTTTGATCCGTTGACATTTTTGTTTTTACTTCTTCTCTTCCCAGTTATGGAGTTGCAGTTCTAGATAAGGTAAGAAATTCCTCACCTTGCAGGGGTTGAATCAAATGGTATTTAAGCTCCTTCAAGCTCTGACATTCCGGAATTCCATGATAAACTCAGCTGGGATGGGTGGACATAGACATGGAGGGCTGGAGGGAGTCTGCCTGAACCCAGGAAGAAAGTTTACTCTACACAAGCCAACCCTGGCTCTGGTCCCATGTTCCGGGACTTCAGGAGAACTACAGTTTTGAATACCTGTTTTCTTTCTCTCCAGGAAATCATCCAGCTTTCTGAATACCTCAAAGTAAGTAACATGAACTCTCCCCTCAGCTCCTCCATCCATCTACTCTCTCCTCCTCCAGGTTAATCTCTCTCTTGCATTTTGCCCCCTAGGAGGCCCTACAAAGGGAGCTGGTTCTGAAACAGAAAATGGTGATTCTCCAAGACCTACTGTCCACCCTGATTCGGGCCTCTGACAGTTCTTGGAAGGTAACCAAAGTGAAATCTTTGTTTGCACAAAGCTCAAGGGCTTCTAAGTGTGTCCATTTCATTCTTTCCATACCATCCCAGCAAAAGAAGGGGTTTTCTCACTACTGAAGAGGCAGGAGGTGGGGGATGGTGCTAAGGCCTAGAGGTCAAACAACTCACAGTAATAAACAGAAGGGAAGGGCTCGGCTAAATCCAGGATTGTCAACTGAGGGCCATGCTGCTACATATCCAGGAAAGACCCAGAACCAAAAGGGTCTTTTTTTAATTTATTGGAAGGAAAAATGGAAGATCCTCGTACATATATTACCGAATGTGGTAAATGTCAATTCTTTTTGTATGGGATTCACACCAGTATTAACTCCAAGCCAGCATGCACCCACGACTCAGCCCAGACATGACTGTCAGTGGGAAGGGACCTTAGAGATCATCTAGTCTAATTTTTTCATTTTGCTCTTGAGGAAACTGAGTGTCAAAGAGGGCAAGGAACCCACCCAAAGCCACACTGCTGGTCAGAGGCAAAACTGGAACTAAAATGCAGACCTCCTGATTTTAGTCCATTCATTCAACAAATATTCACAGACCAAGTTCTCTGTACCAAGCCCTGAAAATCATGAGATGAATTTAGACAGGGTTCCTGCTTTTAGAGAGCTTGTGGTTTTGTCAGGGAGACAAACACCTAAACAATGCAGAGATATGAGAAATAAATGTTTTCAGGATATAGTAGTATAGAAGAAGGGATGAATAACACCAGAGAAGATGAGAACCAGGTTAATATTTATAGTTATGTTAAGTATTTTCCAGGCAAATGTGGACGAAGGAACTATATTCTAGGCCGGGGATACAGCACAGGCAAAGACCAAGAGGCACGATATAGTCTGTGCAAAGAGTCACCAACTTCTTAATCTCTGGACCCCTTTGTACTCTTTAAAAATTTGGAACCCCCCCAAATTTTTTATATTTACCATATTAGAATTTACCATATTAGAAATTAAAACAGGAATCTTAATATATTTAATATTAATATCTAATCCTAAGATTAATACAAATATATATTAATTTTAAAATAACAATAGTAAATCCATTACATGTTAACTAAATTCTATAATTTTATGAAGAATAAGTATATTTTTCAAAAAACAGTGAGGAGTAATATTGCTTTAAACTTTTGCAAATCCTTTCACTGTCTGACTGAACAGAATACAGCTACATCCTCATATTTGCTTCTGTATTCAAGCTGTTGCAATATATTGTTTTGGTTGAAGCATATGAGAAAAATCTGGCCTCATACAGATCTGTAGTTAGAAAAGGGAAGATCTCCCTTGAAAAGGTCTCAGGGATTCCCAGGGGGTCCTTGGACCCCACATTGAAACCCCTATACTAGGGTGTTCAAGCAGCTACAAGTAGTTTGGCACCACCAGAGCATTAGGCACCAGGTGGAAAGAGAGAAAGCACAACCTCACGGGCCTCCATGTACGTCTAACCTACCACATGGATGGCTTCTTGTGTTTAGACAGAGATGAAACGGGAGGGCGAGGAACAAAACTGAGTCGTTTGTAGTGATGTAAAAGAGGCTTCCTAAGCTCAGCCCTCCCTCCTCACACCTGTCAGTGTACCTGGGTTTAGGAGTCTGTGTTCAGGGTTCCTGGTTTAAGAAGGTTGTTTTCATCAGCAGGCTCGGAGCCTGGGGCAGACAGCTGTGCATGCCAGGTGGTTTCCAGTGCTGAACTAAATTGAGATTGTCTCACTTGTTTATTCAACAGACATTTCATAAGTTTCAACTATATACTGGTCCCAGTGCTACAAGGGAAAAAAAGGATCGTTGCTCCTGAGCAGCTCACACTCCAGCCAGGAAGAGAGATGTGTAATAAACAACCCTAATACAGCGTGATAAAGCTAGAACAGCAATGTCTACAAAGTGGCACAAGGCAAAGAGAGCAATCATTCTGCCTGAGGTGGAATAGGGTAGGCCCTAAAGGACAGGGACCATTTTAGCGGGATCCTGAAGGATGCGTAGGAGTTTGCCAGTACACAAGTGGGCATGATGATGGGGAGGAAGCAGCAGAAAGGAAAAGAAATCATCATGATTACAGACATAGATATGACAAAGCATTAGGTATAGAGGAGGGCGGCTGAAATGAAGGCACCTTGTCAGAGTAGTTCCATAGATAGGACCAGAAATGGCCTCAGACAGATCTCTAGGACAATGAGGTTTAAACTTTTTCTGTTGAACAGGATATCTCAAACATACAGACTCCACTTTAGAGGAAAAACACAGCTATCTCAGATCCATGAGATTTTGTGCTACGCCCAGTTTGAAAACCACTGCTACAGACAATAAGCAGGGTAACAAGGGAACTGTGCTTTATTTGGGTGTCAAGTCCTACAATGTCTGGCCCATCCTTAGGAGCTCAATTAATAGGTCTGGAATTGAATGGAAAGTGAACGATGAGACCTGTGTTTGAAAAGGTTCTCTGACAACAATGAGGACCCTGGCTCCAGGTGGGTGTGTGAGTGGTGAAAACGCTCATAATATCCCAGGTAAGACACAACCAGAGCTTGAAGTATAGCAGGCGTGGTAGGAATGGGGACGAGATGTTGAGACATTTCCAATATGGACTATGAAGGGCAGTTTCACTCTATATTACAGCGTAAGTTCCTCTGCTGTGGTTTTTCTCCCTCCTTTGTTCCCATCCCTCCCACTAGTCCCCCTTCCGTTCCTCCTCCTCCCCATCAAACCCCCAGCTTCCTGTTTTTAAGAAAAACAGTCTCAGGCTTTTCAGTTAATAGCCCTTGCTTCCCCCAAAACATTTCAACCTTCTCGCCTTCCCATGAAGCCTCAACTTCAATCAAAGGACAACGCCAATCTGTGATATGTGGGGAAAATGATTGGGAGAATGTGGCAGAATGGGGGCTCTGACATCCAGCCCAGGTCAGGCCTTTATTTTTCCCATCCCCCATCCATGATTTGAATCTCCAACCTCACATGCAGAGAAGCTCACTGCCAACTGTTAGGACCCCAAGGAGGGTGCTGACTCTGGGCCTGTTGGATGCCAGAGGCCCTAAGGCGCTACTGAGACTCTAAGCTGGTCCAGCCTTAGAGCAGAAACAGCTCAGGCAGGACAGAAAGCGAGCTCTAGGACTGGGACAATACAAAAAAAAAAAAAAACGAGAGCTGGGCACCAGCAAGTCTTTAAGTTCCGCAAAGTGGAAATGAGATCTTGAGATGACAACGCAGCAGGGGATTGGCTGCAAGTCCTAAGCCACTCCGCTATAGCAGAAAGAAGCCATGGGCTGGCGCTTCTGCCGTGAGGTGCTAGCGCTTCTGGAGAACAGATCAGAGGCAGGGGAAAGCCACGCAGAAGCAGGAGCCAAAGCCCTCAGACCGGCACCAGGTGTGTATGGCCTCCATCTTGTTCCCTTTTCCAAACGGGGCTACTGTGCATCCCCGAGCCCTGGGCTCCAGGGATGTGATGGCCCAAAAAAGTCCACAGTAGGCCTGTAAAGGGTGCTTCTGCCCACGTACTGTATCACTGGGCTTCGTGTGGGGCGAGCTGGGGCTCAGACCAGGAAACTAGATGCCTCATTTGCAGTAACTTGGCTGCAACTGAATTGCCTGCCTTGAGGAGTCTGGGAAGGCAGAGCTGTGGACAAGATATGTTTTTAAACCCCAGGCTCGGGTTGCCTTTCACCCCACTGAAAGGACTATCCTAAATGGTCTTCTATTGCAGCATGAATGGAAAAGCAATCTAGGGTGAGGCTAAAATACAAAAACAGTTGGAAGAGGCAAAATATTGAATTAAAACCATAGTAAGGAAGGAGAAAGGAGCTACCCAAAAGGGGTAGGAGGTTAGGGAAAATGTAAGAATACTGCCCTGGGCTGGTCTGTTTTCTTCCCAAACTATAGCAAGATAAACCCTTAAACTCAGTGGGTTTGATTGCAATCTGCATAGTAACAGTTTAAGCAAAGGAAAATACTCGGCATCTGAAGGAGAAATGAAGCGGAGATGCGGGTGCAGAAGGAGTGGATTTCAGGACCTGAGCATTGACAATGAACAGGCCACTCAGGGGAATGCAGCCCTGTAACCCGTTACTCCGAAGCCCAGAACAGTGGAAGTCTTTGTCCATCTTTTATCTGTCCCAAAGCCCTGTGGTTATTGTACGTGCCAAATCCCTAACTCTCGGCTCTCACACGAGACATTATGAAAAACATTAATAGCAGGAGACACTTTGAAAAATTATTTTTGGCAAAGCCGTTTGCTTTTTGCAAGGCCCAGCTGAGTAATACAGGAAGCAGAAAGGGTGGGGGCGCCCCCTGGCTCCTGTGGTTAGAAAAATCAGCCAAACAAGAGCAAAACAGGAGCTGTGAGATACCACTTCCTGCCTACCCCAGGTGCCCTGAAACTCAATGAGGCTGCAGACCTCAAAACAGAGTCCTCTGCTCTGCCCCCAGGCCAGTATAGACCAGAAATGTTATGAGGGCCAGAAATGTCCAAGCCGCCTCACTGAGAGGAGCCATGGCGCCTTAGGCCTGAGGAGAAATGTTAATTTCTAGACCTCACAAGTGTCCCACAGGGCCTGGTTGGAAAAAGCCAGAGAATGGATATGAAAATTGATTTTTCCTAAAGGGATCGCAGCCTTTTCTCTCGGAAACTAGCTCTCGACGGCACCCTCCCCTCTCCCTGACCCCCTCAAACTAGCCCCTCTCCCATACCTTAAATCAAACTCAGGGCTAGAAGAACAAAACCCCTACCTGGGAAAAAAGGATCAGTCTATATGCTTAGGTGGAGGGAAAAACAAAGAAACAAGGAAGTTGTGGCTACTCAGTTGAAATACTGAAAAATAGAGAAACAGATAACAGCCCCTTCTGCCTGCTTTTCTCCACCCTCTCACCCTTGAGATTAGCATCCCCCTTGGAATGTCCAAAATGCCATTAGACAGACCCAGCTTATGAATAAATAGAATGTGGCTTTCTGGAAAGCTCTCTTAACACCACCCCCTCCCACACACACATGCACACCCTATATGAATATCTTCTCCATTTCTTGCTTTCTTACAGAATTTCTCATCTTGAGTACAATGGCATGGGGGTGCAGAGGGAAGTGTACTAGTTTGCTAGGGCTGCTATAACAAAGTACCAAAGATTGGGTGGCTTAACCAACAGACGTTTTCTCACAGCTCTGGTGACTAAAAGACTGAGATCAAGGCGTTGACAGGGTTGGTTTTTTCCTAAGGCCTCTCTCCTTGACTCACAGATGGCTGTCTCCTCCCTGTGTCTTCACATGGTCTTCCCCATGTATCCCAATATCCTAATCTCCTCTTCTTATGAGGACACCAGTCATAGGGCCCATCCTAATTACCTCATTTAAACTTAATTATCGTTCTAAAAACCCTATTTCCATTCTGAAGTACTGGAGGTTAGGGTGTCAACATATGACTTTGGGGGGTGGGGCAGCCACAATTCAGCCCATACCGGTGTAAGGGAGAGAATGTATATTTCCCCTGAAAGGGGAGACACCTTTAGTCTTATTGGCCTATACCTCAGAAGGAAAGGTCCATGTACAAGACTGAGAGCAGGTGAGTAGTACAGAAGAGCCTAGACAGACATGGGAGAGAGGTAATGAGGTTAGACAGTAACAGCTTAGAAGCATTCCATCAAGTGGATACCTGCTATGATACCCCGAGCCATTTCACAGAGAAGCTCAAGGTACAGAGAGGACTTTGGGGGCCAGTCTGATTCTTCCTTCTCCTGGTCCAGAAAAAGAAGAAAAGACCTCTTCTACACAAACATCCTCTGTCATCTTTCCTCCTCTCTACCTCTTGAGTTTTCGGTTCCCCATTGAGCACAGACCATGTTCTAGGCCAGTGGTTCTCAACCTTCCTAATGCCGCGACCCCTTAATACAGTTCCTCATGTTGTGGTGACCCCCAACCGTAAAATTATTTTCCTTGCTACTCTATCACTGTAATTTTGCTACTGTTATGAATCGTAATATAAATATCTTTTTGTTTTCCAATGGTCTTAGGCGACCTCTGTGAAAGGTCATTCGACCCCCAAAGGGGTCACGACCCACAGGTTGAGAACCGCTGTCTAGGAAGTAGGCTGGAAATACAGAAAAAACATTTTGTACACTATATTTTGGCCCCAAATCATTAACTCAACCCATTTGTTACAGGGACAGCTTAATGAAGACAAACTAAAGGGCAAACTGAAATCCTTAGAAAACCAGCTGTACACCTGTACCCAGGTAAGCATTCTGGAGAACACTTTCCAGGCCAGGAGTCTAGAATTAATGGAGAATGTTTCAATCTCAGTCTTACTCTCTAGAAATGCCACCTGATAAAGATTAATGCACCCATTCCTAATCACCCAGTTCTGGCTTTGCCATTTTCACTTTGATCCCCAATTTACCACATGTCCATACTCTGTCTCTATCCTCCTCTCCCTTTCCCCCAGTGTCCTTCCCTGTACATCCTGGGAAGGAATCCCAGCACCAAGCCTTTTGCCAGCTCCAGGGGAACCTTAAGAATACCTGGAGCTGTAGGGAGGGCCCCTTGGTAAATACGATTCATACCACCCTGATATGCATGCTCAGGTCCTAATCTTTCAACAGATGGGTTCGGTGTTCTAATGAAATTTTGCAAAATGGTTTTTATTGCATCGGCAACTTTTATCTTGTAGCAACCCCTGGGAGAAAGTAAAAGACTGACTCGGCTTTCCTGTGACGTTGTTATCCAGCTTTAGCCAGTTCTTAATTGGCCTAATCTTGGTTTTGGTTTACAAGAGATAGAAGGAAATCAGCTTTCACACTTGAAAAACACATGACTGTGGGGCCAGCTGAGTGGCTCAGTTGGTTAAGCGCTCACTCAAGAGTGCTAGCTCTGAGCAAGAGGGTCGCTGGTTTGATTCCCGGCCCAAGCTGAGCTGCTAACAAGTGGCAGAATGGCTCAGCTAAAACAAAAAAAAACAAAAAACAAAAATCACTGTTTCTAAAAGGTGGGGAGATATCAAATAATAGAATGAAGCAGAGCAGGCAGACTGTTTCTGTCTGGAATTAGGGACAAAAGGTGGACCTGGCTACACAGCAGGAGTCTTGCAGGAGAATGCCATTTTCAGTCTATAGATTTGCTGATCCACAGCTTTTGTTTTTTTTAGCGTGACTGACCTCCTTTGTCAGACTCTTATGAGCTAAATGATGCCAACCAAGCTCATCAGAAACTGACCTATCCAGAATGCCAATGCAGTCATTTTCAATGGGCGATAAAGCTGGCCAGTGACCAGCACGGTTAAGCCCAATAACCGGGACACACCCATTTCAGATCTCAACCAGTAATTCCTGGATATGCTTTCTAGTGAAAATCCTAAGAACATAGACTCATTCACATTTAAATTCAAATTCTCAGATGATTCCAAAGCTAAATAAAAATGATTTCATATTGATCCCTACACCTGTATTATTTAGGCTACTGCTTACCCAGCGGGCAATCCCCCATTGAGAGTAAAACTGCTTGCCTCCCCCCAAATCACAGGACATAAAGATGAAAGGCATGGGGAAGGCAAGACCCTCGGTGAATTTATAAAATTGCTCTTCTGGTTTCCTTAACTCTGAAGCTAGGAGGAATTTTTTAAATGCAAGTGTATTCATTTTAAAACATTAATGGAGTCTATTGGGGATTGCTCAGATCCCTGAAGCTACAAAGATTAATAAAAAAAAATAAATTAAAAAAAAAAAAGCACGTTCCCTGCCCCTGCCCTGAAAGTGTTCGGTCCCATGAGGGAGACAGATGGGTCAACAGAGTGGAAAGAAACATGCAGCGGATACTACATGAACACCAAGAAAAACTACCTAATCCACAATGAGTTGGGGGGCGGAATGGCTATTCAAGATTTATCGGAACTTACATGATTCTTGGTTTGAATCTGGAGCATGAGTAGAAGTTACCCAGGGGAAAACCGTGGATGAGCAGCTCTAGGCAGAAGCAGCTGTATGGGGAAAGGCAAAGCCAAAAAGCACAGAGCTTAGGGAATCTGCAAGCAGCTCGGCTTGGGTGGAGGCAGCATGGGATGAAAGTCTGGGCTTGTAAGCAGGATCCCTGCCAAGGAGTTTGGACCTGATCCTTAGGACACTGAGGACCCACTGAGAGATTTAAGCAGGTTGTGACATGATCAGATTTGCATTTTAGAAAGAACCCTGTAGCTGCAAGAGCTGCAGGACTCAAAGAGATGGAAGGGAGGCAAGTCTTAAAGATAGGGAGAATATTACATTCGTCCATATAATAGTATTATTAGAGGCTGAACTAAGGCGGTGACAGCAGGAGTAGAGGCAGGTGTGAGCCGTAAGGGAGGTTGACTTGACAAGGGTAGATAACCAACTGATCACTGGGAGAAAGTGAGGGAGAAATCAAGATGTCTCTGGTTTAGGGCCAGGGAGGCTGGCTGGGGAATGGTGCTGACCTCTGAGAGAGCGGAAGCCCAGGAGAATGGAGCAGGTTTACAAAGATGTTTTCCCTTTGGAAATGTTGCATTTCGAGTGCCTGTGGGAGGCCAGGGGACAGTGCCCAGCATGCCAAGGGAGTTGTTTATTATCCTCACTCCTCTCACATCACCTGAGGGACTCTCCCTGCCCACCTGTAGCCTAGAAGCAAAGTTCCACCAGATGACTGGTTATCTCTGCCCTGTGGGCAAGGACCAAATTCTTTTCATTTCCATATCCCAGCTCAGGGCCTGGCACACAGAAGCTCAATGTGTATTTGTTGAATTGCATCAAATTTACAGAAATATTCCCCTCGGGGAATGAAAAAGGTGCTAATGGAGATGGAAGACCAGAAAAACAGCTATGAACAGAAGGCCAAGGAGTCGCTGCAGAAAGTTCTGGAGGAGAAAATGAGTGCAGAGCAGCAACTGCAGAGCACACAGGTTCAGAGATGCTGCATGGTGCTTGGGACTGGAGACCCGGGGCACAACTCCCGGGAAGCTCCCCCGCCCCCCCAGGTGCCACCCTCTCCCTTTATCTCCCTCAGCGGTCCCTGGCTCTGGCTGAGCAAAAGTGCGAAGAGTGGAGGAGGCAGTACGGGGCTCTGAAGGAAGACTGGAGGACCCTGGGGAACCAGCACAGAGAGCTGGAGAGCCAACTCCATGTGCTTCAGTCCAAACTGCAGGTACCAGGCCTTGGGGGTGGGGAGGTGGGGAGAGGAGGCAGGGTTCAGGGGAAGGGAGGCTGGTGACAGCAGTGATGAGAGAAGCTGCTGCTGGGTTCGGGGCTCCAAAGGCAGCTGAGCGCATCTGGCTTTCAGTTCCTCACTTACGGCCCACTTTGTACCAGACTCACTGGTTTGGCTCAGAAGTCTAATTTTGAGTTTAGCAAGGGCATCTTCACTGCTCATGCAAACGAACTAAGTGTTCATTGGAATGACGCGGTCCAAATGCAAAGGGCTGGACTGTCCATCAGCCCACTGCCATATCCCAGCCCACTCTCTGCACCCATCCCAGGGGAGCACCCAGTTCAGAAGTGCCCACTACTGGCACGGAACAAATGTCACCAATGTACATGTAGGTTCAGTATGAACTAACAGATCCTGCCACATCCTTGGCATTCTCAAGGGCTCCATCATTTCCGATCTGCGTTGCCTTGGAGAAGTTAACTAACCCCCTGTGCCTCAGTTTCCTCATCTCTAAATGAGGATAATAGTAATAGCTATATCGTAGGATTGCTGTGAGGGTTAAGTGATCCATGCAAAGCACTTAGCACAATGCCTGGTGCATATAAGCCCTCAATAAATATTAGCCATCATTTTTCACAGACTTTACTTATTTGGTTTGGAATTCTGAGGACACACCTCAAAGTTTATCTTTGTAATTCTACTGAAGCAGGGACTCAATACACAGTTCATCTAAGAGACAGGGTGTCTCATCAAAGGAGTCAACCGAGTGCATCTATATCTTAATAATTGTTCTCTTCCTCCCATCACCTACAAGGCAACTCTTATAAAGGTCTTTTTCTTTTTTAAACCTCAATTCCTTGTGAAAAAAAACAACTGATCGTGCTAGAATGAAAAGTGAAAACATCTAAAAAATGATGATTTGTTGTTTCCTTAATTCAGTCATTTACCCAAATGAGTGCTTTATGAATATAAAAAAAAACACCTCTAATGCATAGTTTGATATAATAAGTGTAAGGAATAGAGCAAAGGGAAGTATTTAAAAACCAAAAACCTTCCCTATATTAATATTTCCCTAATGCTCCTTCTACCTCTAAAATTCTAGTTTTCCTCTTCCATGGGCTCTGCCCCCAACCGCCACCCTAGCGCTGACCCACCTGCCCATGTGTCGGCCCCTCCTCCTCCTTGCAGGGAGCAGACAGTAGAGACATGAAGATGAACCAGGCTCTGCAGCTTTTGGAGAATGAGCACCAGGAACTGCAGGCCAAGATTGAACACCTGCAGGGGAACAGCGACCTGTGCAGCTCAGACACCCAGCACCTACAAGGTACCTTTTCCGGGAGGCCTCTGGCAGAGCGAGTCCAGGGAAGGCGAGCTGGGTGGAGAGATCGGCTTCAGCCGTTCCTGTGTTTGGTTGGCTTTGAGATTTCATTTTCCCTTGAGGGGAAGGCAGGGCTGTTTTAATTATCCAAGACTAAAAATTATAATTTCTCAGCACTAGGGAATCGTATAGGATCAGCTCTTTTCCAGCCCATCCCTCTGAGCCAGATCACAGCTGCCCCAACATCAGTCATGTGTCACAGCCGCAATCCCAATTTGAAAGGGAAAGATCAGTTGAAACACAAGGTGGAGTGAAGGTTTCCATCCAGCCTCTGCGTCAGCTGAGAGGACCACACTGTGTGCAAATCCAATACTTAATTCAACCCCATGTTGTTGACACAGATGAATTCCGAGGTACCTGGGTTACTTCACCTGGGACAAGTAGGAGAAAGAGCAACTGCCATTTGACACGTATCAGAGGCCATGACAGGACAGTCCCTGTTACAGATTCCCACCCTCAGGTGTTGAGTTCGTGAAGTCAGGTTCTTCTATTATGGTTTGCATTATTTTGTTTTCAGATCAACTAAGGAGGTCAGAGGAAGAGAAACTCACCCTGATGAGCACAGTACAGCAGTTGCAGAGTAAGTTTCCTTTCCAGGTTCTGGAGGTAGCACAGGTGGCTTTTTGCTGTTCCTGGGGATCCTGCCCCACTAAAGGCACCCAGAGGTATTGGGGGCCCAGCCTCTGGCATCTCCTCTTCCTCTGTGCATTTTCAGCCCCTCTTCATGTGAAGTGAGGTCATTTACGTAGCTCTTAAGTTATATATTATTAGCCTGTCCTTTTTTTTTTCTTTTCTCCTTCCATGCCAATGACAACCGCCAGCATTCCCCCCAGAACTGCAGATTTTAAGAAGTGTTAGGTTTTCTAAGGCAGTTCTTATTTCATATTTCCTAACTTATTATGTACATGAATATGTCACATATAGACCGGTCACTAGGAATGATTCAGAAAATAAGCTCACAGTACATATGCCTCGGTCCACTTCAAAACTACATATTGAAGCCAAAGAGAAACAGGGACCGTTCAGAAGTAGGCCTTTTCAGAAACCCAACGCAGAAGTTTCAAGCACACAGCAATGACACTAAAAGAGCAAGGCAACCAGAGGAGGAAACGAGAAAGAACGCCAGCAGACGCCGAGCTCCTACAGAGCAGGCGCTAAATGGGCAAGACGTCACTTCAAAATCAAGCCTTTATTTATTCAACACATATTTATTGAGCCCCCGCCAAGTGCCAGACACAATAGATATATGCACTGAGGATACAGCAATGAACAAACGGACATGGTTCATTTCCTGGGGAAGCTTCCATTCTCAATAAGCTCTGCAAGAAAGTATGGAGTTTCAATGAACAAATAAATATGTGTCAGGTAGTAATACCTGCTATGGAGGAAAATAAAGCAGGTTTAAGGGAAAATAGTTGTTATTTTATACAGGGTCATCAGAGAAAGTTTTTCTTCTAAGATAACACGTAAGCAGAGACTAAAGTTAAAGACATAGTAGGAAGAGATATAAGGATGGTGTATTCATAACAAAGTACCACAGACTGGGTGACATAAAGAACAGAAATTTATTTTCTCACAGATCTAGAGGCTAAAGTCCAAAATCAAGGTGTCAGCAGGTTGGTTCCTTCTGAGGGTTTTGAGGGAAGGATCTGTTCCAGGCCACTTCCCTTGGCTTGTAGATGGCTGTCTTCTCCCAGTGTCTCTTCACGTGACTTCCATCTATGCATGTCTGTGTCCAAATGTTCCCTTCTTATAAGCACGCTAATCAGATTATGTCCTATTTTAACCTGATGACATCTGTAAAGAACCTATCTCCGAAAAGGCCCCATTCTTAGGTACTGGCAGATAGGAATTCAACATATGAATTTAGGGGGACACAATTCAACAGCTGGGAACATCCTTCATGATCAGGGCTCTAAGCAAAGTTCTGAGAAGACCCTCTGCAGTAAATACGCCAGCACAGACAAGTTCCTTGTGTTTCCCAACAGGTCAGCTTCGGGATCAATCCTTACAGCTTCAAGAACAGGAGAAACTCTTAACAAAGAAAGGTCAGCAAATTTACTTGCACAAATTCTAAGATATTGCTCTCCCCTCGCCTGCCTAGAGGCAGGGGCATGGACTACAATGGCCTCTTGGGAGTCTGCTAGGTCAGGGACCAGGGCAAGCGTTTTAAAGGCTAGTCATTGACTCTGAGAACACTTCAGCTATAGTTAGTCTCCTATCCTGAGAGGTATATAAACTGTGAAAAAGGATTTCTTCCTTCTCCGAAAACATGTCTGTGTTGAATATTTTAATAAATTGATTTTGAACTCAGGATTTCATGTCAATTTTTACACCTGACTTTCCAAATCACAACCGACTTCCCAAGTCTAAACCCTGTTGCATCCAACAGTCACCTCACTCTTAGCCCTTAAGTCCGCTGCCTTAGCTTCCTGAGAACAACTCGTCATGTATCTGGAGGGAGCAAAAGCTCCACCTTTATCCACTACACATGGCCTCTTCTCATCACAATCACTGGGAAAGCTACAAGGCAGAAATTACTACGCCCACATGGTATGGATAAAAAGAAGGTTGGTGGTCATACAAATGAAGGACAGCTAAGACAACAATCCAGAATTTCTGACTCCTAGTCTAGTGCTCTCTTCACAAGACTAAGTAAGATTGTCAGGTGGCTGAAAAACCATCCTTAACCACATGAAGATGAATTCTAGGCTATGACTGTCATTCTCATGACTGAAATGAGGACAGAAAGGAAAGGGGGTTATATTGAAGCATACAGCAAACCTTCCAGACTAACTAGACAGGAAGTGACCTAGAGAAATTGGAGTATAAAGATTCCCTAAGAGGATCTGGCATTAGACAGGACTAGGGGTACCAAGAAAAGTAAGATCGCCTTGTCCTCAATGGGCTCAAATTCCAGCTCTGTCCAGACTGAGCAGGGTTGCAGTGGGAGTTAAGTCTGAGAATTCCATTCCACGAAGTCTAGCCAGGGACAGGCCCTCCCCTTTCCCTCCCCTTCCTGCCCCTCACTCCTGGGGCATCTCTCAACAACAGGGCCCTTCCTCAGAGGTTGTGGGCCTCACTATCACTGAGCATCTGGCTGCTTTTCTAGATCAGGCTTTGCCCGTGTGGAGTGCAAAGCCTTCCCATAACGAAGTGGAGCCTGAGGGTACAGGGAAGGAGAAAGACTGGGATATCAGAGACCAGCTGCAAAAGAAGACTTTGCAGCTCCAGGCCAAGGAAAAGGAGGTGAGACGGTGACCTCGGATAATGAGGGGCTCAGCCCCTCCCATAGTGGTAGGGAGAGCTGCTGGGAGGAAGCCAGAGAGCAGGGATTTCAAGCAACAACCACGCGGTGACTGAACACCAATAGGTATTCACTTGCCTGTGAAAAATGTCTTTGCTTTCCGGGTTAACTTGTCAATCTTTTCCCTCCTTCTTTATGTATACCAATCCTAATTCAAGGTTTTGTTAAATAAGTACCTTTTGAAAAGTCAAGCTAAACTCAAACACATTTAATAAACATATTTAACTCCTCAAACTCTGTCCTACATTGAGTTATCTTAAAATATTGTAGTCTTTTAAGTAACAAAACTCTTCCTATCTACATACTCACAAACATACATATCCCTGGCTCCCAGCAAAAAGACTTGTACTAAGATCATTTCCAGGTCTTCTGCACTATAAAAACTTCCTTTTTGGGTGTCCCCATTTACAAAGCATTTGCAGTGTCACATGAAAACACTTACAGGTACAATATATGACATAATCTGCATTATAAACAATCATGTAAATGAACATATTCCAGACAAATTAGGTGAGATAGTGAAAGGTTAAATAAAATCTGAGCAAGGCTGGGAAGGGCGGATGGTGGTAAAACTTCCAAATGGATGAAGGGGTAACTTACAAAGGGCCCTCTCCCTTACCTGGGCTCTGCCCCAGACAGAACTGGTGATGACCTTGGTGGTGTTCTCCCCCCCAGTGCAGAGACCTGCATTCAGAGTTAGAAAACCTCAGTGACGAGTATCTCTCCTGTCTGCGTAAGCTACAGAACTGTCGAGAAGAGCTGAACCACAGCCAGCAACCACCTGCCAGAGTAAGAGGGTCTATCCTCCAATATAGCCCTAGGTGATGGTGGGACGATTCCTCCTTTAGCCAAATCTTGTGGATAAAATTTATCAGCCTATGACAACATCTGGCCAGTCCCATCCAGCTTGGTTTATACAATTCTGACAGTACAGCAACCATGGAAAGAAACACTGGCTTATGCATCCAAGCTTCATTTTCATGGAACTCTTAAGCCTGTAAGGGAAGATTGACTATTACATAATGTATGAAATGGTGTTCTTTTAGCCCAGGGGTCAGCAAACTGCGGCTTGTGAGCCACATGCGGCTCTTTGGGTACGCTCCGTCTCAAAAGTTTGCCGACCCTTGGAAGAGCCAATCCTGTCCCTCACAACAATTTAAAAATTATTAGAGAATTTTTATA